ATAATAACGTTAAAAATAAATATTTATTCCATCTGATACGTATTATCTCCCTCACAATGTTCAATTAACGAAAAACAACTTCATTGAGCATAAGAGCATAAAAAACACAAATAAAAGAAAACCGTTTTCCAGATATTCAGCTAAAAATAAAGTATGCAACAACATAATGCTAACGATAATAAGGAAAACAATGAAGTATTAGTGATCACAATAAAATTCAATCAATCAGATCAATTCTATGATAAGACGACGAGCAAAAGAGCAACTCCAATCAATCACCAATTCATTCCTCCTTCTTCAACTTCTTTGATGCTTTCTGTTTGAGGTTCTCCAGATTCACATTCGTATCATCTTTCGACGATCGTTTCAGTGACGATTTCGTTCGGGGTTTCTCCTCCTTCGGCGTGAACAACGATGCTCGATGGTGTTGACGCTCGATGGCTTTCTCGTTCTATAAACATTTACTTCAGAATAATATTCAAACTCGCCCTGAATTCAATCGTTAGGGGTGTATCGATAAGACACGAAGTTCAGAGGAAAATTTTCGGGAGAAAGAAGTTCTCATATGGAACATGCTGATGAGAGAAGATCGCGTTGAACGTCAAAACTGGATTAAAGCCTATCACATCAAAGTGGTGGTAATTATATGAATAAATGGAAGTTTAATGATTCCATCGAATCATCGAGCACTGCATCAGATTTAAACCGAACAATGAATCAAGCAATAAATGAAATACTCATCACAATTTCACAAACCTGTCGTGCATATTTCGCGTTACGTTTCTCCAACTGCTTCGTACGCTCGTTCATGAAGTATTCACCACTCTCCAGTTGTTTATCAACCTGTGCGAATCGATATTATTCACATACACACACACACACACATGCTCATTATTCCCTCATTTACAACACCGTGTAAAATTCGATCGCGATTCAGAAATCATAAGTAAAAAGTGTGAAATAAAATTGCAATCGGTAAAAACCTTGCTCAGAACTGGCTCCGGTGGGAATGGTGTGTATTCACTCTTCTTCTTCCATTTCGCTGATTTCTTCTTCTTAGCTTCATTTGTGGACTGCGATGATTGCATCTGAATATTCCCATCTTCATAACATCAACGATAGTAATAACGTTACAGCGCAAAAAATAAAATAATCAATGATTCCATGCAACGAACCCTCACATACTTCACATTGAATCAAGCATTTCAACACCTCATTTACTCATCTTTCTAAAAATGCCACTGATAGCGTCCGAACGAAATTTCGGCTCGATTAGAATCCGATCAAATTCACATTAACAAGCAAAGTGAGAAAGTGCAATACCTTTTTCTTGAATTTCGGTAAGAAGCGATCCCAATTTTCATTGCGCAATTTCTCGTTCTTCATTAATTCGCGTTTAATCATTAATGTCTTGATATTATAAATCGGATGGATGTTTCGCATACACTCCTCCACAATTGTTCGCACACTTTTCAATCCCTTAAACCACCCAACTCATTTTACTTAAAAAATTAAGAAAAATGAAAAACAGTATGTATGAAGCAAAAGAGATAACATGTATNATCGAGTCGTCGTACAACTCTCAATTGTAAAAACTCGAAAATTCCAAAATGAACGATCACAAAGTTAAATCACACGTCGCTCTCAAACTCTCAGTTCTTTCTCAAAATAAGAAGAACCAAACCTGATACGGTCCCACTGCAGCCACTGTGCCTCCTTGAATCATCACATAACACTGAGTCAGCAGTTCAATTGCTTTCAGAGTAGCACCATTACTTCCAACCAATCTTGCCCGTCGCTTGACGAATTTCTCTTTATTTGAGACCAGCGAACTGATCTTGATAATATCTGACGAGATGTCATCATTCAGAACCCGTACGGCCTGTTCGTAAGGCACGCTTCTGGCCAGCAGTTTCAGTACATCTCGAGCCTGTGCACATTCATACTCTCACCCTTTCAATCAGTCACCAATCAAAGCACAACAAAAACAAACTTTCACGAAACTACACTGCATTTTTTGACCACTTTGCACGATCACAAAAGTTGTTTAAGGTTCTTTTTTGAGTTCTGATTAGAATAAATCAGAATTTAAATCTGAACGGAATGACGTTGATGCAAATCAAACCTTTATAATAATATAAGGGTCCCACGTCTTTCTGGTGGTTCGCACGATCATCGTACCTTCGAGCACATCCAATTCGCCTTTCAAAAAATGCTCAGAAAATGTTTTCTGCACTAACGGCCAGCATTCCCTGATTGGAGAAAAAAACCATTATTTTATTTTTCAGAAGAGAGGCATTTGAGTTGTCATGGAATAATCAAGCTACTCAATAATAATTTACCTCAAGTATTTCTCGCGATACTTCGGAAAGAGACTTGCAAACGACGATTCGCATACCAAACCACCTTTATTATCGTCTTTTGAAAACGTTGAAATATCCCACCAGGCTGGATCTTTGCCCTGAGGTAACACCGACAATTCCTTGGAACTGGTCGGGATTTCCTCTGACTT